CCATCTGAGTTTTATGAAATCATTTACTCTTCCTGACAATAGCTGTTTTCTTTTTAATACGGATACTTGGCTTCTTGAAAAACTGGAATAATAACTCCAACATTTTCATTTAGAAAAATTAAGTTTTCCTTTGTTAGCTGTGCTTTACAAGACAAATCTCTCTCTTTACTAACAATCTCTCACTACCTGACCAAATGGTGAAATTATAAGCAGACATATAGACAAGAGGCAAAATACACATTTTGAATGACATCAAAGAGAATTTGCATTGAAATACTATTGAGAACAATGAAAAAAAGCCTTGCAGATGGTGTGAATCACAGCAGAAATTTCAAAAGAAGTTTCAGCCTGTTCTTCATTAAGTGGTCAGAACACACTATGTAAATGAATTCATCTTTTTTATCTCTTGTTTCTTCAACATGATCTACTTCCTCAAAGAAGTGACTAGTATATCCCAGAGTTGTGTAGGAACCAAGGTTCTCATTGTTATGAGGTCTTTTTTTTTTCTTTAAGCTGTCAGAGCATCATCTGTTTTGGAACAAACAAAACATTGAGCCCATTGAGCCCTCAAAATTTATAACAATTCAAAAGAATTAACTTCAGGTCACTTTTATTGATGTCTTTTGAAAAGAAAACCATATATTGCCATTTTATTCAAACTCTGCACTTTGAATAATGAGATGAATTCAAAAGTATTTCAAAACAGGAATGTTCTGTTCTAAAGAAACATAACTGAAGACTTTCACTTTTTCTGAAAACAATTTTAACATCAAAGGCAACTGTTACAAAACCTGTTGCTACCAAATTATCATTTTCTGAAAGAATATTCCAATGTGAAAATTGCCAGTTTCCTCACCATTCATTAATTTGCAATGACATAATTCAAATGAAAAAAAAAACAAAACCAAAACACTAAGAAAAGGAGGCATATTCTTGAATATAAAAGAAGTATTTTTTTGCTTTCCCTGCCTTCCACTTTCATTCAAGGAAAAAATAAACATAATTGGGTTTAAAACAATTCAGGTTAGACCATTTATTTAAAAATCTTTTAATTCAAATAGTAAAGTCTATATTTTTTTGTCAGTCTGTAAACATCACTTGTAAGATCAAATATTTTCAAAAGTTCCGAAAAGCTAAAGTTCTAAAAAGAGTGTAAATACTTTTAAAAAATTGAAAAACAAAAACAAATTAGACAAAAAAGTTAAATGTTCCCAACTCCAGAGCTTAATTTGGGAATAATTTCAAATCCAGAGAAACCCTCCATGTCTCTGTCTCTAATAGGAAAAGTTGAGCTTTCTACTTATGCATGCCATTTGAGACCCTAATTTCTATAATAATAGTAGTAAAACATTTTTATTGCAACCTTAGAGCTTATAAAGTAGAGACAATGAGCTGTGGAATGGTGAACTTGATCATTATTTTATCCCAAAAATGTGATGCTAGAGTCTTTTTCTCTTCTTGAAAGTTTTGAAGGTACAAATTTTGTAACAGGACTCTTTTGGCTTTGAGCCTTTCAGTCTTAACCTTTCTTTTGTATAAAAGCAGATTAATACATTCAGTATACTTTTAAGAAGTCTGTACCTGAGTACAAGATTCATTGTGCATAATGAGATGACTAATTAAAATGGCTCTTACTACTTCATAATTTGCATCTTCTTTTTTGTGACCTATTCTTTATAACACTGACGCGAGTAACTACATTTCTGAAGAACTAACCCATTAAGTGTATCTTTTAACATTGCACCAATTCAGCAAGATAATTTAGTATTTGAGTGAATGAACTTAACGCTAAAAATTTTCCAGAGAAGAAAGGACATATTTAAGGGTCCTAGAGTGTTGTGTTTATTCCATTAGATGTAAGTAGGGATGCCATTCTCTATCCATTTCTCCGATTATACACTCATTATTAGTGTCAAGTAAAAGCCTCTACATTTCTGTAATATTTTCTGTCCATTACAAAGAGCTGAGTGTGATTTTTATGAAACAAAACCCTGCAATTCTTGTGACTGAAGACCCTTACTAAAATGTATTTATTTCTGATGTGTTAAACTGGATCATGTTATTGTAATCAGTTAGTCGATTATGTCCACTGTAGATTTTAGACACAGAAAAACCATCAGTACGTGACTGTCCACACTTTAATCCTAAATCCAGCATTTCCTCTGGAAAAATTTTTCCTTTCATCTTCAGTGGTCAGTCTTCTTTGTTAAAGTTACAGTGAAATCAGATATAATTACCTATCCACAGTTAAGTTGTTCATCTATGTTTTACATATGGAGGACAAAAAGAGCAGGCATTGCTGGGATCTGATTTCTTCCTTGCAGTGTTTTGATATATATTTGGTTCAGACCTTAAAATAATAACATGACACACAGAGCCATGCACTGTCTCCCAAGCAGCTAAACCTTGGTATTCTCTAGAAGTAAAAGCACATGCTGTTCATGTCTATATGGTTCAGAGCTATGACCACAGTAGTGAAATTACAGGCCGGCTAATTCAGTTTCATTTTTGTTTGCAAAACCTATAATGATTTTTAGGCCAAGATCTGTGTAGAGAACTCGCCTGCATTTTTTATCTTTTCACAAAGACAAATCATTAAATTTACTGGAGATAAAATCTCCAAATCAGAAGATTTTACCTGGCTGGTAAACAATATCCAACGTCTATTTTTGTTTTGTTTTGTTTTGTTTTGTTTTTTTTTTGTTATGTTTTTATCATTAATACTAAACTTTAAAGTGTCAAGAACAGGTTTTATACATTTTCAGCTTACCTACCTTCCAAACAGGGCTGTTTCCTACCTCATTCTAATTCTGCTTCTCTTAATTTCCTTCCAATTTTCAGTATGCTGAGGATACTCTACATAGACAGCTTCACCTCCTCTGCCTCTTAAAAGTTTTCAAAGCTGGCTCTTCTTTGATTCAGCTTGAATGTTTTATATCATCTGCCTCTTTTGCCTTGTTCTAAATAGAGACTTGGTGTAACAGAAGATGCTCCTTTAGCAGTACCTGGCCTTATTCAGTATAATGGAAAGCTTCCAGGTTTTTAAGGGAAACGGGAATTTTAATCAGAATTTGATGCTCATTTAGAACTGAAGAATATGCAGAAATCGTGCACATATATGTCTACTAAATCTATATAAAAAGATGCGAATGTTCAAACTACAGATAAAGAATATAGTAAAAAGTACAAGTTGCTAAGATAAGCAAGTTGCAAATAACAGTGTAACTTGTAGTAGTATAATATGTATTTGAGATCTGCAACCATTGTTCTTCACAATTAAAGTATCAACAGGACTATACACAGGATGAAATGAAGAGTTATAAAATCTACTCCCAAGTAGCTACCTCAAATGGTGTGTTAAAGTCCTGCACCTGGGACGGACTAGCTGTGTGCAGCTAGGACCAAATAGCTAGGGTTGTATTTTTTAAAAACGAACCCAGTCATCCTATTGGCTCACTGTGAGCTTGTAGCACTACCTTACAAGAACATCCTCAGCTGCTTTAGGAAATGCAAGGCAGTAGCTTAAGGAAAGCAATTACTCCACTCTAATCCACACTACAGAGACCACATTTGACATGCTGCTGTGGATTCCCCACTGCCACAAACAAGAGAGCTCAGCAGATGGCTGGCAGAATGGTTAGAGAGCTGGACCACGTACCTGAGGAGGAAACATTTCTGCCTGCTCATCCTGGAACAGATGTTGAAGGGGAATCTTACTGCAGCCTTCTGCTTGTTAAGGGGTGTTATAAGGAAGACAGTCAGATGCTTCTCAGGCATGCACAGAGAGAAGACGAAAGGCATCAGTAACAAGTCAGTACATGTAAAATTTCAACTAGATGGAAGAAAAATAACATTTCCACAATGTGAGTAGTCAAGTTCGTATCTCCCCAAAAGACTGTACAATGTCTATCTTCATAGATCCTTTAAAACAGATGCACTATGTGCTAAGCAACCTAACCAATCTTTGAAGCGAATTCTGCTTAGAGAATTAGGAAAAGCTCTCTTTCAGACTGGCTTATTATACGATTCCCTGTTTTACTTGGATGGAAAATCATATTATTAGAGAGGAAAATTTAAAGAAAAATCAGTTCAATGTTACCCTACACTCTGTATTGAAGAGCTTTATAGGCTTTAATAGTCAAAACAGGCAGAATCACATTCTTGCGTTTCTGGTTTCTTCTTCGGTTTTTAATAAACTATGCAGATACCAAGACTGCACTCTCTGAAAGCATTTCTAATCCAAATCAAAGCAAAGAAAGATACATCTTAGCACATGATAGAGCCATTTCTCAATTAATACAGCATAGGGTATATATACAAGTATACATTCAAAATTAGCCTCAGGACCAATGGTAACAATTGGCTTTCCAAGACTTCCCCTTCAAAGGGTGAACACTTTTATTGCACTTTTTTTTCTCTGATAGCACCACTTTATTTATCTTGAATGGAAAGAGGGCTCTTGTCATTGCCTCAGAAGGCGGAATGTCACCACCCAGTCCTTCTCTCTCCAGGCATGAAAAAACTATACCCAGCTCTCCAACACTGCTGGAAACACAAAATACATCCTACAGTGCCATTTACAAAGCAAGACCAAGAAACATTTAGCAGTGAAAGTATGGATTCATTATGCCAACAGAATGTCAGTGTTCAAGGCAGCTTGATATTACATAATATAATTGTGGTGTGAAGAATTTCTACATACCATTACTGAAAACGTTGAAATCCATTTCATTAGAGAAACAGTAACAAGATAAAACTGGAATGCGTATATGTACATGACCTCAAAATCACCACATCTTCATATTATAAGTGCAAGGAAAGTTGAACAAAATATCTTGTATCTCATCAGTAAAACTCTTATGGAAATTAGCAGTTCAGAACTGAGAAAAACAGGAATTTTTAAACTTCATGAGGTGACAATTCTTACCATTGCTTCTTCCCTTTTTCCATTTCCATCTTTTCCATTTCCCAGCAGCAACCTGTCTGAAAGAATTATTATATGTGATTAAAGAAGGCAAAAATCTTATATGGAAAGCTGACTGCAATGTAAAAATATAACGTGTAGTTTAATCCACTGCAGAATGGGACACTTACAGCTAAATTTTAGCTTTGTTATTTGAATATTTAAACATGCCTAAAAAAAAATCCTTGAACTCTTCCACAGCTCTTTTCTTTTCATGCAGACTTCGTTTTGGATGCTTGTAGACATGCATTGAGTTAAAAAAAGAAAATGTTATTTTCAAGCTGTTCAACACTTACTATGTTAGAGACAGATTATAATGTGGATTTCTTTCCAGTAAGGATAAATATTACTGTGTGAGACATAAAAATTTTATTGGCTGTCCTTTGCTGAATGATTAGTTAGAGTTTGGTGCATTTTCTAGACTTGAAATACCTTATATTTAGCAAGATAAAAATCTTTTTCATTATGAAAACAAAGATAATTTATTCAGCCAACATGAAAAATTCATAACTAGAAGTTTTAATAAAGAATTCTATTTTTCAGAATTCTAAAGGAAGACAGAAAATGACAACCTAAACATAGCAAGATTTGAAAAACAATCATAAATTGCTAACTGAAGAAAGTTAAGATCTGCATTTCATATCCTTTTTCATTTGTTAGTGTTCATTTGAAAGTTGAGATACTTCAGTGAAATTATCTCCTGTTTTTATTATCTTTACACATGTTAAGCCTGGAAATAAATCAAAACCTCCTCCATATTTAAGGGAAAAAACATTTTTAACCAAGTGTGAACTTGCAGAGCTTCTGTGAACTACAGAATCTTACACCAATTCAAAGTCTGACCAAAGCAGTAAAAATAGAAACTATTTCAAAACTGTTCATGTGAAATTGAATTCAAGACACTTCTTTACTCTAGTAAGAAAAAAAATGGTACAGTGTTTGGGCTGGTTAGTAGCTACACATATTACAAAATATTTTACCTACTTCATGCAAGGAAATTTTAATGAAAGTCAAAGCAGACAACAACAACTTGCTACCCAGATTTGAGGAATATTTTCCTTACTACTGGCACAAAAGGCTATAAAGTAAATAATGAAATCATAATAATCTACAGGAGTTTAGAGAGTCACTGCATTATTGATGTTAGTATTCTAAATTGGATGATAAATTGACTTAGTGGTGTTGCTGACAGCCAAAGAAAAGTCTTAAAATGGACACAGATGTAGCAGAAGGGTGACAAGTGGACTGTCAGTAGGATCTGTCCTATGCCTGTTCTTGTTCATACAGTACTGCATATCACTAATCTTCAAATAAATTTTTCATCAGCTTAGTGATCAACAGATAGCTTGAATCCATTCTGTCATTTTCATAACTCAGGCGCAGTATCTACTGAAATCTTAAAGTTGCACTATTTAGTAAGACTCTGGTTTGTTGTTTTTTTCCTGCCACTTGGCAGCTAAAAAATATTGAGGAAATAAAATGTAAATAGAATTATTGTATTTGCAACTTACATTAAATTATTTAATAATTTAAAAAATATGTGATAACATTATTATAGAAACAGTTTATCTATATACTTTCTTATTAATAAAAATACTGAAAAGTGTGAAGCTAAATGTCTTTCTGCTGCAATTCTCATCTGATATTATTATTGAAATAAATTGGTACACTAGGCTATTTGTTATATGTTGTTCTCATCCAAGCTTGTATGAAGACAAAGCCAGTACGAGCCAACATGTACCTGAACAATGAGCTGTTTGAAGAGAAGGTAGCATCTCTCTCTGTTCAATGTAAAATCTTTTCTGTGCACTTGACCTAAGATATTCAGGTCTATGTGTTCCAATTCCTCGGTTCAATCAGATCCTGAGATGATGCTAAGTTGGTAGTTCAAGAATTAGACTTTTCCTAATTATACCAGATGAGAAGCAACCACAAGATAGTACTATCACCAAAATCTCATAAAGAGAGAGTCATCATGTCCTGGGAGATGCTAAGTACACTGGAGCATGGATAGTGATCTACAATTGCATCAAAGGCAGTTATAGGAGAATATCTAATAATGAATTATCAGGAAGGCTACAGGAAGACCACCTATGGTCAGAGGAATCAGGCCAGCTGTGAGAACAACTATGCAATAAAGCTTTGTCATGCAATTCTTCCACTAAACTCATTTGGACAGAGGCAATCTGGAAACTATGACCCTAACATCTGACAGGATTATTTAGTCCAGGTCTTCTGTAGCTTAACCTCCAGAAACAGCAGGTTATTGAAAATGCATGGCTGATTTTTGGAATCAATGCATCAAAAGTCTATAGTCTTCAGCAGTCAGATTATCTCCATCATTTGTGTTAGAATAATTGTTCATTTATTGCCAGCTGATACCATCTTGTTTGTACTGTCCTGTACCTAATAACAATTCTGTTTGGTCAGTCGTTTGTCTATTGCAAGAACAAAAGTTGGTATAGAGGTGTCAAGAACAGAAAAATAAGACAACAAAACACATTGGATGAATTAAACTTCCTCAAAACTAGAGATTCCTACTTTGGCAGATACAGCCGAAAAGTTTAAGGTGACATGATGGACAGATCAATAAGACTTACATTAGTCTGTAGTTCCCAGTGATTGAAGAAAGTCAGTTCTTCCACTCCAAACGTCTCTTCCTCCTCTTAAGGATTAGGGCTTAATCTCTTTAACAACAGCTGCTAGTGCAGTTGAGCCAGACACGGTCCCGCATTTTTGCTTCTTCTCCATTTATTCAAAACTGTAATATCAAGGTATGTGTATAGGGGCTTTGTTCTAGGCAAATACAACTTTCATTGTCTTCATGATTGTTATTGCAATTACATGTAAACTACAGTCTATTTCAAGTATATTGCATAGTATTTTGTATTTCTTGAGACCTCTACAATCTCTTTCAATATCTGTCACAAACTCAGCCTCATATGTACTGTATGGAAGCATACTTTTTAAAGGAAAACTCTGAAAATATCCATAAAAACCCATTTTATTACTCACTTAGAATGAAATTGTGTCCTAGTCTTTAAATAAGTGTTAATTCTGCATCTATAATTTCTCTGATAGTAAATATATTTTTAATGATTACAGCCTTCCCTTGGAACAGCTGTTTCCTGAACAGTTTTGTAGCTGTTTTTGACCACTAGACCTCTTAAATAAGTTGGCAACAATTTGATCAGTTTTAAAAGAAAATTGGCCACCGGTGCCAGTTTTGTTCTGACATAAAACTTTAGTATACTTGGCCCTAAGTTTCTCCCATATGGAAGAAAAGTCCTCTATCTTGAGGCTTTTATTGTTTCATTCAACCATAATTTATGTGCAGATGGAAAATTCATTCCTTGACTCACTCATTCTGTATTAGTAAATAACTAATTCTCGTACAGCCCTAGAGCTGTATAGTCCTTCAGGGTTAATTTCAGAGGCAAAACAGCTCAGTTCCCAAGCAATTCTATGCGAAAGAAAACTGCTGTGGAGCATTTGGGCAGTTATAAAAGCAGATTACAGACAGATAATTTGCACAGTTAGTACTACTGTGATTCTTACAAAAAAGTTGCAGAAATGTGAGCAATATCTGTTCTTACATAATTCTATAAAAGCAGAATAAAAATTATAAAGAACAAGAAACACACAAATAACTGCCTGATGATCAAGTCCTTATCACAGGGTCTGAAAATTATTTTCTCTTAATAGGAATCCATGACTAAAATCTAAGTTCTGATTAAAAATAAAATACATTGTGTTTTGTAGACTATATCTGTAACTCTGTAGACCTGACACTGTTTAGCAATGCAATGTAAAGTTGATCAAGATTTGTCATTGCAAGATAGCTTACTCATACCATTAACTAATTTGCTCATAAACAAGTTAGCAGAAATTTTACAAAATGTATCTACCTTCAACTACTATGCTACCTCTCAAAGCCTTCTGGGCTAAATATCAAATGAAAAAAACCCTTACATTTCATATTGTGTCAGAAGTGTTACCAGATACTAAAATTAAGGCATGTGCACAAAAAAAGAATCTGTATTAAAGTTGAAAAGAAAATCAAAGAATAATTTTCTATAACTATTTGCATCTTTTTACATTTTCAAATTATACCAAGTCTGTTTTGAAATTGAAAGGCTGATCCAGATCCTTCCAGAAGGAAATCCAGAATCCTTTAGAGTTTAGGATTTCCAATGGAAACATTTACTATTATATATGTCATTTGATATTGCCTTCTTTGACTAACAACTCAAAACTATTCACTTTTTTCTCTCCTTTTTCTTCTGGAGTTTCCCCATGAGAGTTCTTTTTTTGGTGGAGAGAAGGGACTTCATTTCTGCATCTGTTAGATAAGCCTTTAAAAATTATTTAAACAAAAATTTTAAAAATAATTGCATGCCTTAAGCATTTTCATACAAAGAAAAAGTATGGTATTGGAAAAGTATGGTATCTGCTTTAACGTCTTTAATTTAAAATAATTGTATCTAAGGGAAGTGTAGAGATAGAAGGAACTTCAACAGATCATCTAAAATATTATTAATTAATATTATAATTATATTTATTAATAAAACTGGCTTGGAATCCAGCACACAAGGACCAGACTGGTATTAGTTTGCCCAATCTTCTCCTGATAGACCCTAGAGAAGATGATTACATAATTTAATCAACAAGGACAATGTGTTCCAGGGATTTACCACAAGGACTGTTTTTTCTGGCTTGTAGGTTTTTCTCTAATACCTAAGGTGTAAATTAAGGTTTTAAGGTGTAAATTTGCTCTTATCCTTCTCCAAGCAAAGCTGATGTACATCTTTATTAACATGTTCTTCTGTGGTCTTCTTTCATTTTTTTTTTCTTTTTTATTGACTTAAAAGAAACCAATAACTTTTTTAGTGTTTTGCTGTTATTTTCAAAATGCATATTTTCAAAATCTCTATTTTCTTATTCCCTCTTCTTCGATGCTCTCAAATTTAACATAAAAGGTATTTCTAGCTAGCCAGAGCATAAAAAGCCAGAATCTCACAAAAGGTCGCATGGATGGAATAATTACCTCCAGGCCTTTCATATGACTTTGTTGTTAATACATTCCAGAACCACATTTGTGTTACTTTAAAAATCAGTATTAAGAGTTCAAGGTTCCCTAGATCTTTTTTCTGAAGTTCTGTTAGACTTGGTAATTTTCTAAAACTTAGTTTTGTGTTCTACTTTACCTATGCCTTTACAGTTTCTTGTTGATTTTTAGATGGCTTCTTCAAATTACAGAGATAATTTTAATTTTAATCTTATTCTCTGACTTTGGCATCACAGATTTTATAGACATGCCCTACATTCCATCAAGAAAATCATTAATGAAAATAACAATTTTCATTATCTGTCGAGTCCATGTTTTCTTCCCAGCTGAAGATTTTTACATGATCATTTCCACACCAACCAGTTTTGATGTCAGAAATAAAATTAAGGTCCCATAGACGTACAGCTGGAACAAATGGGCTCTTAGGAGCCAGATTTCATGCATATGTGCATAGTTAAGCAGTGAAGTGTCAGGAATAAATATAGCATTTATATACTATATAAACAGCAGCCAATAATTTTCACTCATACAGAATTCCTGCTTGAGCAACAGCAGCATAATTAGCCCATGCAGTTAAAGAGACTGTTTCAGAAATACTTTTTAAAATGAAACTTCTTCTTTATGTGTTAAACTCACAGTAATTAGGAGTTGTAAAAGTTTACCATATGGGATCAAAAGCAAAATCATTAAATTAACACCAATGTGAAAGCACATTTTGTGCACCACTGACATTTCACTAAAACGTCATTTGAGGATGTGGAAGACATGCATTAATCTCTTGGCACAACATTTAACTTTAGAAGATAGGAAGCAGTGGGATATCCAGTCAGAAAAAGAAAACCCTTATGAGCATAGGTAGAAGAAGCTTTCCTTACACAGCTCCAAAAATATTAACATGGTGCACAGAGCCAAAGCAATTAAGATTGACTCTAAACTTTCCAGTGAAACACCATTCTACACAAAACCCAGATTCTACAGAATTTAAATACTATACTTGTAAACTAGAAGCAGAAAGGAAGAAAGCCTATGCACGTATTGGAACTGAAGATATGTCCTTGAGAATGTGCCTGACCATGCTGGCCAAATCTCCAGCACACCACCTGCTTGGGAAAGCAGGTTTCCTGAGAAATCAATCAGATTTCAAGATCCCAATATCAAAACCCGAAAACAAACAAATCAGAGATTGGCATATTGTTACACACCCACACCAACCTGCCCCACCCCCCACCGAGGTTTGAGACCCTTTCTTCACACTAAAAAGGTGACATTTCCTTAACGAGGTGAATTCCCATTTTAGCCACAGGTCCTAAAAGCCACTAGCAGTTAACGAAGCTGGTCTGTTCATAGCCTTTTGGTATGTCAGATCATAAGGAATACACTTCTAAGAGCTCCGTTGTTCCTTTCACTTCTTTGAGACACAGCTGCTCTTATGAAGCACTATTATTGATCTGTTAACATCTGTGTTATATAATTCTCTCAGAGATCTTACACAGAAATATTATAATTATTCAAAAGGAGAGGAGTTTTCTTTACAACTAAAATACCTGGTTAAGTGTTGCTCTGATTTGCAGATTTGTAGAATTGATGTCAGTTGCACACACACCTCTTTAACTGTGTTTTTCTGTCCAACTAGAGCCTGCATAATTACTCTTTCTTTCTACATCCTGATGTTACACTAGCAGAAAGTTGACAGTGACACTAACAGGTCAGCTAGTGTTCCCAGGATCTCCCCTAAATTACAGCAGTTGTAATCTGCATTTTCACATAACAGAATATTACCTACCTACAGATAAAGGAAGAAATTATTCATTATGATCCACATCTTCCTGTAAGAGTATCTCTCTCATCACTAAAGACTCATTGCCCTTCATAATTTTAGTGTTCTTATCCAGCATTGCAAAGTCTGTGGTCTAATTGCTTTTATCATTGTGACCATTTATTAAACCTCTCAATATACGTGACAAATGATGCATTTACTAGCCAAGAGCTATTTTAATGAAGCTTTGTGGAGACACACTTAGGAGTCCTTCAAACGTTCTTACAGTTCTTTGTTTAATCTTTCTTCTAGTCTTGCTTTTTCTTATCTATCTCTAAAATTTTAGTAAATAGTCTCAGGGTCATCTGTTGCCATGGATTTTCCATCTTTACTGAATAAAAATAACCCCTGACAACTTTCTTGACAACTGACAAAGCAATAAATAAACTTTTTGGGATGAACCAGTGTGACTCTACACAATCTCTTGTTAATACCCTTTCCCATGATAAATAAACAGAATTCTGTGTTGTTTTCTTTTCTTGCCCTCCAGCCAACTTTTACCATAAATATCTCACTAATATGAAGCAGGGATTGTATTATGAACCTTATAATTTGGACAACCCTCTACTAATAAAAAATATTCTTGTGCATGAATGCAACAAATACTTCTGATATGCTTAGCAGGGTTTTTCTATAAATCAGGAGTTGAAGTATATCAGGAATATCTTAAAGTTGGGGGACTAGGGATGTGAAATGTAGAAATTATGATAGCTGAAGAACTGTTACTGGAAAATATAGTAAATAACAACCCAGAAATTACTTACCAGAAGCATTTCCCTTTACACATGTAGGTAGCTCCATGGAAATGAAAAAGATTGCTTTCTGATGTAGTGAATTTATGTGTTTTGTGGCATATATGGTCAAAAATGTTATTTAC